TCCTTCTAACCTTCTCAGATCTGTGATTTCTCCAGGTTGCAGTCTCTCAATTCCCACTGTCTCTTGTTCAGCAAACACTTGCAGATTTCCTATTGGGTGCCAGGCAGTGGGGCTGAAACAGATTCTTAGGGTAGCTCCTGGAATGGCTCCTACCTTATGCAATTGCTTTATCGCTTGCAAGTCTTCCGAGATTGTCAAGCCACTGGTTCTCCTGCACTGAGCCTGTTTTTCCACATAGCTGTCTTCCTTACATGATCATCATAGATTGATTCTCTAAGCTACCTTTTCCTAGCCAAAGAATATATGATAATTGTGCTGGAGAATGTATCTTCTCTGACAAAAATATTACTTGTGTATTATACTCTGAGTAGTTGCAAGGTATGAATAGAGGATTCACTGTTCCCACAGTTGCCCTGTTTCATCATCCTATGACGAAATGCAGTTAGAGACTACAGTGTGAAATATTCTCTTTAAACCTCAGTAACTAAGCTGAAATTCACATAGTGGAAGTGGTCAGTGGTGAGCATTGCATTTATGTGAATTCTCTGCAACTCACTGAGAATATAGGCTCTGGCTCCCCAGCCCCAGCACATCAGCTCCAGATAGTAGAGTCAGGCCCCCAACAATGTTTAGTCATACACTTCAGTTAGGGGATTCCCCACTGTAATCATTATGCTCTGTAGCTCTAAATTACTGTTTAATAAAGTAACCACTGAGGATGATTTTCTTGTTATTTGGAGGCTGCCAACATTAAAACCTCAAATGCAGCTTAGATACTTCGGGGACATCTAAATCCATCATAGTAACTTTTGTTTGAGAGATTTGACTATCTCTATCAGTGACTTGGGGCAGCTGCTTGAGCCTGTGAGGTCCTTTTGGTCATTAAAGGTTTAATTTCAGGCGGGGAGTATGTGCGTCAGTGAGCCTGCTATTGGTTCATTATTATTGAATCAGTTCATAAAGAAATATTCAAAAGCTTGATGCTCTCAGGATGCTCCAGGGCATGTTTACAAATTAAACAGTGATTTTTTTAAAGATAAAATTCATATACATGCACCGGTAATATTTAAAACATCCATGAGGGAAATGGCAACATTAAAAGATGGTTTTGGGGGAGATCCCTGAGTGGTTCAGCGGTTTAGCGCCTGCCTTTGGCCCAGGGTGTGATCCTGGAGACCCAGGATCAAGTCCCACGTCGGCTTCCTGCATGGAGCCTGCTTCTCCCTCTGCCTGTGTCTCTGCCTCTCTCTCTGTGTCTCTCATGAATAAATAAATAAAATCTTTTAAAAAAATAAAATAAATAAAAGATGGTTTTTGCATGTATCTGAAAATCTGCTTACAATAAACAGAATTTGCAGGATTCCAAATTTGTGGGATTTTTCCCCCTAATTCCATTATTCCATATGTATGTTTTACAGGGATACAGTAAGACACTTGAGGTCAAGAGTAAGCCTTGAGTTTTATGGTGTTAATAGAGCTTGGAAGTGAATGGCAAAAAAAGAGTATATATATGTGAACTGATTAGAATCTTCTTTCTCACTAACTAGGAAAGTTCCTGGCACATAATGGACACTCAACAAGAAACTGAGGAATTGGCTGAAAAAAAAAAAAAAACTAAAAGAAAAGATTCATGGTTATATCATTTACCTCAGAGCAACGAAACAACAAGGAAAGTAATCAGCTCAGACAATCAATAATTATTTTAGTTGTCTCAAGCCTGATAGCTTGGCTTATATATTTTTTTCCTTGCCACCCAGTGAACTGAGTTGAGATTTGAGGGGACTTATGGACATGAATTCAAGTATTTTTAATGAGAGACTCAAGCCAAGTATAGAAAGTAAATACACACTGAGTGCTATGCAAAAACAACTAGGTTTATGTCTATATCTCTCTCTTTTTCTTTCTTCCTTCCCTCCTTCCCTCCCTCCTTCCTTCCTTCCCTCCTTTTCTCCTTCCTTCCTTCCTTTTTATCTTTTGTTCATTCATTCTTCTCTGACTCGGTATTTAACAAAGCCACAGACCTTAAATTACCAAGTTAGGATTACTGAGTCCATGTCTGTGAAAACAGGCTCATCTTAAAGACTAGTTTGTAATCTGCAACCGATTGTCTGCCATACTTTTATTCTCACTTTACAACGTGAAGTATTTAATGCTGTGTAGCAAATTTCTTATCAATTACAGCAGTTTCTTAAAATTTATACCAAAATTGCACAGTTTTCATGTTCTATAAAAATACTCTGAATGCGCTGCCTTTATCGTGGATTCACAAGTATAATCGAATTGAGGATTAGTTCCATCATTTGGTGGCACCTTGCCATCATGTTAGTTCCGTATATGGTTTCAATATTGTAGTTTGCCAAGCACTGTCACGTTCTCTCTTCCAGTCCCCTGGAGACCCCTGTGATGTAACTAGTATCATCCTTGTTTTACAGATGCTGAAGCTGAGGCTCAGTATGTTAGTGTTTTTTACAAAGCCCAATAAGTTAGGTTGCAGAAACAGGTCTTCAGCATCAAGTCAAGCCTCCTTTTTCACTGAATTACATTCACTTCTATGGGCACAAAGCCATTAGTGGTAGAAGAAAGCATCAAGTTTTCCTGGCCACCTCAGCTGACTTCACCCTGATAATCCATCCTCATTGCATACAGTAGCTGGGAAATAATACAAAGTGTTGTGACCCATTTAGGGTCACCCTAGTCCCTGTTGCCAATGGGATATAGTGGCATTTTATTCTGTTGACTAAGTTGGCTTTCCTTTATTTCCCGGAGTTGTTCTAACAATATAATCTTAATATCTCACTGACCACAAGCAAAATCCCTTTGATATTCAGAGGGATACCTGTATAAATATGTGGACACTAAGATTTTACTTATTTTATTGTTAATAGTCCAGCATCAAGTAAGTACTCTGATGCCATCAAGGATTAGGTAAATGGGTATTATTTTTTTGTCTCAGAGACCAGTATCAGATCACTGAAGGGCATGTATAGGAAGTGTTTTCTAGTTGTTCCTGTATTTTGCTAACAGATGAGGAGACCAGGAATAGGTTCCATTTTCCCTGCACCATCATTGGTACAGATAATGTTGGTTATCTTTATTGCCCTGTGGGATATTTTTCCCATCTAAAAAGCTTTGTATATAGATATGAGGGTGGTATATTTCAAGAGAATCCTCAGGTAAAAATGTATGTGATTAGTTTGCAAAATATTTGCACTGACATAAAATCTCATTCTGTGATTTTATTTATTTTTAAAGATTTTTATTTTTATTTTTTATTTATTCATGACAGACACACCCAGAGAGAGAAAGAGAGAGTGAGAGGCAGAGACACAGGTATAGGGAGAAGCAGGCTCCATGCCAGGAGCCCAATATGGGACTCTATCTCGGGACTCCAGGGATCTTTGGGCCAAAGGCAGGTACCAAACTGCTGAGCCACCCAGGGATCCCAAATATTTTATTTATTGATCTGATAGAGAGAGAGTTCACATGAGGGGGGAAAGGGCAGAGGGAGAGGCAGAAGCAGACTCCTCCCTGAGTAGGGAGCCCACTGATGCAGGGCTCGATCTCAGGACCCTGAAATCATGACCTGAGCTGAAGGCAGATGTTTCACTGAGCCACCCAGGCACCCCTCATTCTGAGATTTTATTATTTAATTATTTTCTTTAAAATTTTTTTAAAAGATGTTATTTATTTATTCATGATAGAGAGAGAGAGAAAGGCAGAGACATAGGCAGAGGGAGAAATAGGCTCCATGCGGGGAGCCCGATGTGGGACTCGATCCCAGGACTACAGGATCACACCCTGAGCCAAAGGCAGACACTTAACCACTGAGCAACCCAGGCATCTCTCATTCTGAGATTTTAAATCCTTAGTACCTTGAAGCGGTTGTTTTTCAAATTTGAAATGTGTGTTCTTTGTCTGAGATTGTTTTATTTTTACAAGAGATAGTTACTGTTAAGTGAGATAATATGCTCCGAGTAAAGTTGTTTCCAGGGAGAAAAAGCCATAATGAAACCTCATTGTCTGCATGTGAGCCTGTGTGCACACACACTTTCACTTGCACACACTCATCCATATGTTGTGGTGAGTATAGAATTATAGACCAAAAAAATCACTTTGTCTTTCTGAAAAGAGATTTATAAAAACTATATATGCTATGGAAATCTGAAGCTTGGAATCCAGACCTAGCGATTAATTTTGGTTGCCTCTCCCACCTATAGGAAGTTTGGAGGACTCTATTTTAAAATGTTACTTTTGGTGGATCTATAGGTTTTATATATCCTAGAGGTAGAAGAGACTCTCATCAACTCACTTATTTTACAGGTGGGAAGCCAAATGACTGGTCCAGTGTCAGTCACACTTGTACTGTTCTTTCTGTTATGTTTTCCAAGATCAGCTCAAACTGGTGGCCACTCTCACAGGTGGATAATATATCACAGTATCCTAACTTCATCTCTTTTCCCATATTTATTTTCTCTTCATTTTGATATACAACCGTTATAAAAGCCTTGTAAAAAATCCTCTTGTGTTATAAGACTAAACCAAAGGACAACTCAGGTCACTTTTTATTTGCCATCCTAAATATCTGGGACTTAAATGTGGCAGGCCTGGGGTAGTTTTTGTTGTGATTCCTCCAAACCTGGGTGTTTTACTCTATAGGAAGGCGATACCCTTGGTCTCAAGGGCTCTTGCTTTTGATGCTCTGTGGCATGTATTTTTAAAATATATATACAAAGATGATTACCAGCCATAATTTTCTTCTGTTTTTGATATTTTATTTCAAAATAATTTCAGACTTAATGAAACGTTGCAAGAAAAAGAATAGTACAAAGAAAACTCATATGATTTGCTAATTTCTTAAACAAATTACCTCATTCACTTTATCATGTGTTCTTTCTGTCTCTTTCTCTCTGTATGTATGTGTGTGTGTCTGTGTGTATGCACACATATTGAGAGAGGAGGGAAAGAGAGGGAGCTTTTTCTGTGCCATTCGAGAGTAAGCTGTATATATACATCATACATATTTTTAAAAACCCTAAAAAATCTTGTAAACTGTTCCTCTTTATGGAAACCTTTAGCAAAAGGCGAAAGATTTATAAGATTTGAAGAGAAACCAGAATATTACCAGGCCCATGTTTTATGTGAAGATGAAAATAAGAACATTTGTTGGTCTCCAACTTCATAAAGTTTTAAATGAACAATGAAAGAATATCTGTTATTATCATATGTGCTCAGCTGAATATTCTTTTTAAAATATGTCAGGTCTTTTGTCTGACAATCTATAAACCTGGGAATCTCATCAGATTTGATTTTATTGAAATATATTTCTTAGAAGAAAAAATAGCCTATGTGTCTTATATAAGTCTGTAGTCACCCATAATGGTTAATGTGCACCCTCCCTTGAAAAATCTGTTTTACAAGCAAAATGTTGACACAATTTTAATTATAGCACTCGAGTGAACACTGTTACAATTTTTAATATTCCTCCATGGTAACATTTTTATTGTTCTGATAGAGAAAAATGCCCTGATCCCGTGTCCCTAGTTTCTGGTGCTTTAGGATTTTATGGGAATGTTACTTATGAACAGAAATTTTTCATTTAGTTTCAAAGAAGAGAATATGGTACACAGAATTTGGTGCATTTATTTATGAATAAGGACTTTCCTCTCTGTAGCAGTCATTATTCTGGTTTAATTTGTTAGTCTCCAACTTCATACAGTTTTAAGTGAACAATGAAAGAATAAGTGTTATTATCATATCTGCTCAGCTGAATATTAATTTATAATAATAATTGATATTAATAAACATGACTCATGTTAACGAAGTGAGCTTCTATGTAGTTTGACACACTGAGTCTCAACACCTGCTCGCTCAGCCTGGGGGAACTGTCCACACTTATGACCTAAAGAAATTGTACATAATATTAAAAGGGTATCTTGCTAAAGTTTTATGTTATATTAGAATTTAAGTCATTTAAAAATATCTATAAAATAGTGTACTTCCATGTAACATAACAGTAGTCAGTGCACCATACATGTGAAGACATGCATTGGAAGGTGGAGAGCTTGCTCAATACTCCGTCCGCTTAGAGAGGAAGAACTGTCCATGCGTTGTCACTCAGTGTATTTGAAAGATGCTTCCATGGCTTCCCACCCCTTGTTGGCCAAGCACTGTTCTTTAACATGCCGGCTCTTTGGTGGAGGGTCAGGAATGTCAGTTGATTGTTGATTTGCTCCTGTGCCCTTCTTTTGTCCCTTTCTGAATTTTCAGAAGTGTGGGCTTTCTGCTGCCTCCTGGGCACTGAGGGGAGACTGGTGCCCCTGCTTATCTCAGTGGGATGACAGGACTGGCAAGGACAGAGACACCTGTGCCTTCACAGCATGGGCTCCTGCAAAAGGGTGGGCTCAGTTTGCCCCTTCAGCAAAGCTGTCTGCAACAAAGTTTTAAATAGGAGAGAAATTACAGCTGCCCCTGGGCAAGGGGGCAGAATAAGGCTGTGGGCAAAAATATCAGTCCTTACTTACTTAGCTCTGGCTTATTGATAAGTGCTGTGATAAGAACCTCCTTTTCAGTGAAAAAGAATATTTGTGAATCAAGACAAAGAAATAGTTATTGCTTTCGGACAACGTGGGAGGGATTTTATCTTTGGTTAGTGTTGATTGGAAAGATTTGATCTCTCATTTGATGAGAACTACCTCTGTAAAGGGCATTTTTATATACATTTGCAAGACAAAGGCACTTGTATGGAAGAGTGCATTGATGTATATTTTTGGATTTGGGATGACTTTATAATTCATATATTTTCCAGGAAACCTGTGAGTGTAAGATTTCTTATTGTTTTGATATTACTTGGGGGTCATGTTGGGTAGTATACATACATATGGGTGTTGCATATATAAGCAGAGTTAGACTTTAGAACAGCTGCTTCCTGTAAAGGATTAGGAATTTTAGTAGCTTCTGTCTGAGTGTGAGCAATAAAGGAATTTGGATCAAAACTTTAGGATTTGTAATATTAGGAATGTAATGTTTGTTTATATAATGATATATTTCTGAAATACATGAATAAATTATGTAACGTTATTGAATTCAAGCAAAATTTGTAGAATTTAGGATTATATACTAATATATTTAGTATTATGTATATGTCATACATTCTACTCCATAGAATGGTAATCAGTGGTGGTACACTGAGAAAAACAAAGGGAAAGGATTATCTTTTCTACATATTTTTAGAGTGTTATTTTTTTAAATGATTTTATTTATTTATTCATAGAGACACACAGAGAGAGAGGCACAGGCACAGGCAAAGGGAGAAGCAGGCTCCACGCGGGGAGCCCAACATGGGACTCCATCCAGGGTCCCCAGGATCAAACCCCGGGCTGCAGGTGGCGCTAAACCGCTGCGCCACTGGGGCTGCCCTTTTCTACATATTTTTAAAAAGAGGTTTTATTTACTTATTCATGAGAGAACAGAGAGAGAGAGAGGCAGAGACATAGGCAGAGGATGAAGCGGGCTCCTTGCAGGGAGCCTGATGCGGAACTTGATCCCAGGACTCCGGGATCAGGACCTAAGCTGAAGGCAAATGGTCAACCTCTGAGCCACCCAGGTGCCCCTTTTCTACATATTTTTAATCCAGGCTTAGTTACCAAGGAATGACCTAGAATTAAAATATATACACACTTTAAAAGTACAACAGTAATTCAAGACTCAAAGGATACCTTTTACCCTACTTGTTCTTTAATTACACACTCTTTAAGAGCATTAAAAGCATTTTTTAAAGGCATAAAATATTTTATGTTGAAGTAATCAGCAAATGAGACTTAATGGAAAAATATTGTCTACCTGTCTTCAAGCAAACATACTTAAAAGCAGGCTTTATTTTTCTAATTTAGAGTATATGGAGATTACGTTTGGTCTTAATTACATTTGCCTATTTCTGTCTTAAAATAATTACTGATGGAAAAATAATAATGATGTGATACAGTACAAAAGTAGATCGTATAATTTAAAAACTGGGGGTTTTTTCAGCTTTAATATTTATTTATTTATTTATTTATTTATTTATTTATTTATTTATTTAGCTATTTATTTATTTATAGTTTCAGATTTTTATTTAAATTCCACTGAGTTGGGCATCTGGGTGGCTCAGTGGTTGAGCGTCTGCCTTTGGCTCAGGTTGTGATCCAGGGGGCCTGGGATTGAGTCCCACATCAGGCTTCCCAGAGTGAGCCTGCTTCTCCCTCTGCCTATGTCTCTGCCTCTCTATCTGTGTCTCTCATTAATAAATAAATAAAAATTTAAAAAAAATTCCAGTGAGTTAATGTAACGGTATAATATTAGTTTCTAGTGAATTTAGTGATTTATCACTTACATACAACACCTAGTGCTCATCACAAGTGCCCTCCTTAATCCTCATCACCGACTTAACCCATCTCCCCCTCCAGCAACCCCTCCAGTTTGTTCTCTGTATTTAAGAGTCTGAAAACCTGGGGGTTTAGTTCCAGCTTTTCTACTAATTAGCTGCATGACTTGAGGTTAGAGAGATAACTTGTCTAGGTTTGATTTCCATTTGTAAAATTGAGAAACTTGAACCAAATGGACTCCAAAGTTTTTTCTTGCCCTAATTGTTTTTTTTTTAAAGATTTTATTCATTTATTCATGAGAATACACAGAGAGGAGAGAGAGAGTGAGAGGCAGAGACACAGGCAGAGGGAGAAGCAGACTCCATACAGGGAGCCTGACGTGGGACTCGATCCCAGATCTCCAGGATCACGCCCTGGGCTGAAGGCGGCGCTAAACCTCTGAACCACCTGGGCTGCCTGCCCTAATGTTTTATTATTTATTTGAGGGCTTAAAAGACTATAATATTCATTACATTGCCAAGACTCTCAAGTAGAGGTGGTTAACACCAATCGCATGAAAGAGTAAAACGAGGGCCTTTTGTGTGTAAGTCCAGTATGTGATTGGACTGTCTTGTGACATTTTGAGAGCTTATAAAGACTTCTTAGGAAAGCCACAAAGAGGAGATAATAGGAAACTGAAACTTGTGATAGGCAGATAAATATAAAGGAATTGATACTGTTTGTTCCAGAGGAATATAAAAAATAGCCTAAGAACAGTTTTAAATGTTCTTCCATTTATGCAACAAATATTTATATACAGCCTACTAAGTACAGGCATTGTTTTTATCAAGGATCTGAGGATGAGATGAGTTGAAGTTAGAATAAGCTGTAGCAAATGCTCCTTTTAGGAAGGAACAGTTCTCCATCAGGATGAGGATGTACTAGATTGAGTCAGGCAAGGTGCTTGGGAGATCTCCTGTAGTCTTAAGAGATGATAGTCCCTTGTGTTTCAGATGGTTTAGGAAACATCTTGCCTAATGGTACCCTTTGTGTGCCTTCCCAAATGGAATCCTTAATTTCTTTTTCGCTCTTGCTGGCTTTGTCACCAAAAAAGTGGGAGATAAGACTTTTGCTAATTGCTCCATTTTTCTCTCAGTTAAAATATGCTAGAGCTTAGAGTGATGGGGATATATTAAGTAAGATAGAATAGGATTTCAGCCTTCCCTGACTAATGCTTTCTCAATGTAGCGTCATTAAAAACCACCAGTTCCCAGAATAATTGTTTTCAAACATAAGCACGAAAATATATTACAAAACTAACTGTGGTCTCTTAGTTTGCATGGTGCCCCAGTGATGAATCAGCTTTCTGCTTACTGTGTTCTCTAAGCCCCTTAAATGGGCCCGAGGATTTCCTCTACCACCTTGCCCTTAATTCAGCATGGCTCTGTGGGGTTCACAGTGTAGAAGTGATTTTGAAGTAGCTCATTGTTTTGAAATTTCTTTGTCATTTCTTGCATTATTTGGATAAGTAAGAGTTATCCATGCTTTCCGTGGTTTTCTCTTTTACATTTTTACAGAAGAACAGAATACAATAACTATTTAAAAAAGCTTTTATTTAAATTCCAGTTAATTAGCATACATTGTAATATTAGTTTCAGGTGTACAATGTAGTGATTCAACACTTCCAAACTACACCCCATGCTTATTGCAACAAGGGCTGTCCTTAATCCCCATCACCTATTTCATCCATCCCCGCACTTCCCTCCCCTCTGTTAATCATTAGGTTGTTCTTGATAATTAAGAACCTGTTTCTTGGTTTCTCTCTCTCTTTTATTTTCCCTTTGCTCTTTTGTTTTGTTTCTAAAATTCCACATATGAGTAAAATCGTATGGCATTTGTCTTTCTCTGACTTATTTCACTTAGTGTAATACTTTCTAGCTCCAGTCACATCTTTGCACTCCTTAACACGTATTTATTATTGTGAAAGTTCAATTGCACAGAGTGTTTGTATGACTCACTATATGCTATCAGAATCAGGGGTTGAATCATAGACCTGATAAAAACCAGGGTCTCAAATTATGCTGTCTTACCTATAGCAATATCTTACCCATATCTTACTACATAGGAGATAATAGTTTTACCTTTAATACTAAGCTATAAGTAGCTAATATTTTTACTAAAGCATCCTACTTAGACTTCATTTGATTTAAGCCTTCTTAATTTTGAGAACAGAATTAATTTACTCTAATAAGGCAGAGATTTACTGTTTTGTGAATAGGAACCTGTCTAGAATCTCTGACTCAAAGTGTGGCCCATGGAGCAGCAACATATGCATCATCCTTTAGCTTGTTAGAAATGAAAACTCCCTATCCTTCTCTCCCTACCTATCGAATCGGAATCTGCATCTTGGCCAGAAACCCCAGTTAATTCGTGTGCATGTTAAATTTGAGAAGCACTGGAGTTAAGTGTATAAATCACACTAATTCTAGCTGAGATTGCTTTGAGGTTGGTGGCGGAACAGTTAATTGTAAATTATGTTTACTTTTGATCTGGAGAAAAAAATAAACCCAACAACTGTGAATGACTGGTGTAGTCTGAGAATATTGAAAATGATGAAAGTGTGTAAGTTAAATGAAGTCTGTGAGAAATTAGAAATATTGGCAAGAAGTAAGATAAAAAATTATCCCAGAAAACATGAACTAAATGTGTGTGTACATAGTATTCTGTAATGCATTGTATTGAGGAAATTGAACATAGGAAACATCATGATACATGTAATGTAGGCCTAATAGTGGACAGAGTGTCAGAAATGAATCAGTGATAGATCATAGTGATCACCGTTCCACGGCCGGTTTGATTTGTTAGAGATTTTCTTAAAGGCAGAAGCGGCTTGTGTACTTTTCTTGCAGTAAGTGTCACTGTTTGCTAGAAAAATAAAAATAAACTGGAGAGTGTTAAGAGATGGGCTAAAAGATTGATTATGACATAGGAAGAACTGATTTATGAGGAAAGAGAAAAATAATTAAATGGGCAGCACTATGCTATAAAAAAGAGGCTATGGAGACATGGATATTTATCTGATATTTCTCTTATGCTGTTTCCTGTAGTATCCATATGAAAGATGCAAAAATATTAGGATGTAAAGATGCTGAGAAATTTGTTACAGAACAAAGCAATATCAGCTGGAACTACTCAATTAAATTAGGAGCAATATCAAAGATTAAGTTTCAGAAAATTTTACGTGGTGCATGAGAAATGACCTTGAATGGAATGACTTTATCCCTGAGAACTGTTGAAAGCTCTGTGGGCAAAGAATGGAAGATCATTTATTAAATTGTTGAATTATCTCTCCAGGGAAATAATTGCAACCCCATCCCTTGAAACTTCTAAAATTAGGGTGGAAAGAAACCAGGATGTTGCCTATGGGAACTCTACTTTTGGCAGAGACCTTGTGATTGATGAGTGACGTTTTTCTTCTACAATATCTTTGATTATTGCTCATGGTTACCATACATAGAAACATTTTTTCATCAGGTTGGTATCTTATTTAAATTTTTAAAAAATTCTAGTTTCTAGAAAAACAGCTAGAGGGTATCACTTGTCTGCCCTCCACGGTGTCTGCCTCCTTGGTAATGGTAGACTTACCTGCAATTCTGTTTTCATTTCTCTTCACTATGTAATTCATTAAGAGATGCAATTTAGTGTGTATTGGAAGTGAATTCATTTCCTACATTATCTTCATTCAGAAAGCTAAAAAGAAAAGCCCAAAATATCTTGCCTTTTGCACCCATTTGCCAAATGCATACAGAAACTGTGTATGAAACTCTCCAATGAAGTCATCTAGTGCTTCAAAGAGTTTTGTGATCCTTTTTATCCAGATGAAAACCCAGCTTATGTTTGCCTAGGCTAATGGTCCAAGAGCACTGCATTTCCTTCTCCCCTCTGTAGACTTTTCCCCCAGTGATCTATATCAGCTGAAAAGGGGAGACCAGAACCCCAATTCCATTGGTCACAAATAAAGCACAACACAATTATTTAATATTATAATTATTACTTGACTTTGTCATGCTAATTCCTTCACATCCACATTTATATTGTCTAGGAGATCTAGCTTAATGTAGGTGCTGCTAAGGACAATTCATATCGAATATGACTGGAGATATTAGGTGTACTTCACGTTGGTATGTTGGAAGCTTCCAAACTAAAATATTAAGTCACATTAATTAAACTCCATCATGTGCTCCATAACATGAATTGCTTTCTTGTTGATGGTATTTTCTAAATTATTGTACAGTTTTATTATTCATGACTTTGTGCTCCTGCTTTAGTTTTAAGAAACTCTTACTGTCTTTAGCCCAGAGTTCTTCTTCCTTTCCTTCTTGAAAGAATTCTAGACCTAAACAAAAAAGGTTAAGATTACATTCCACCATTGTGTCCCTAATACAAAGATAATCTCCTCTGTATCCTGCTTTTGTGAAAATGGCTCTAACAAATTGCCAGTGTCTTACATGTGCAAACGACAGCTGTCTCCAAGATGAAAACTAATTGGGAAATAAAAATAAAATTGATGGGTTACAATCTTTCTTTTTCTTCTCTTGCTTCCTGACTGATAGACCTACCAGAGGAACAGGGAAAAAGAGTCTTTTTTCTTTCTACATCGTTCTACTAGTGTCATATTGATTCTCTCTCAAGTACACCCTGTGGTCTCAGATGATCACATATTTTCTTAGATTCTTCGTATTGATACAGCACCTTGACTCGTGGGTTGACACACACTGCTTGTGTTGTGGCGACACGGCTCATCGTTGATATTCCTGGAGTGTGCCAAGCTTCCCAGGCATGAAATAAGGGAGCAGGCTGTTTCACAATAGTGTTCTCATTCTTTGAAAAGTGGTTATTGTTCACCCCAAGTGCTACCTTAAGTCTCTGTTACTGTTGCTTAACATTGCTCTTGACCTCTACAACAATGCTCGAGTTCTCATGTGTCTCTGTTGGTGCAGGAAGAAAAGATTCCTCAGCCAAGCATCAAATTGTTCTACTGTTACACTATTTTTAAGAAGAAAGAAATGGATCATAAGGTGTCAGAAAGAATACAAGGTGACCTGCCCATATACCTCTGCTTGGCTCTCTTTCTTACCTTTGTATTCTCTCATGCCCCCCTCCCTCTGTTTCAGCTAGCCGTGAGGTGGTTGGAACACAACTGCCATTACCAGTACATGGATGAGCTCCTGCAGTATATCCGCTTCGGCCTGATGGATGTGGATACTCTCCATACAGTTGCCCTGTCCCACCCCCTGGTCCAGGCCAGTGAAACTGCAACGGCTCTTGTCAATGAGGCCCTGGAATACCACCAGAGCATCTATGCACAGCCCGTTTGGCAAACTCGCAGGACCAAACCGCGGTTCCAGTCAGACACTCTGTATATCATTGGCGGGAAAAAGCGTGAGGTCTGTAAAGTCAAGGAACTTCGGTACTTCAATCCCGTGGACCAGGAGAATGCTCTCATAGCTGCCATTGCCAACTGGAGTGAGCTGGCTCCCATGCCCGTGGGAAGGAGCCACCACTGTGTGGCAGTCATGGGGGACTTTCTGTTTGTAGCAGGAGGAGAAGTTGAGCATGCTAGTGGCCGGACGTGTGCCGTGAGGACTGCCTGTCGCTATGACCCCCGCAGTAATTCCTGGGCCGAGATAGCACCCATGAAAAACTGCCGGGAGCATTTTGTGCTGGGGGCCATGGATGAGTACCTGTATGCGGTGGGGGGCAGGAATGAACTGCGCCAGGTGCTGCCCACCGTGGAGCGATACTGCCCCAAGAAGAACAAGTGGACTTTTGTGCAGTCCTTTGACCGATCGCTTTCATGTCACGCCGGATATGTGGCAGATGGCCTTCTTTGGATATCAGGTAGAACATGGCTCATGTGTTGGATTTGTCAAAAAGTACTTTCGCTGTGGCATGAATTTAAAAGTTGAGCTTCGGTAGTCGGGGCCATGTGTGACTGAACCCCTGACCCGAGGATGCCACCTCAGCTGCTGAGCATTCATTTCTTGGGCACCTGCTCTGTGGAGAGCAGTGTCACTGGAAGTAATCGACCTTGCGTGACCTTATTTTATTTTATTTTATTTTATTTTATTTTATTTTATTTTATTTTATTTTATTTTATTTTATTTTATTTATTCATGAGAGACACAGAGAGAGAGAGGTAGAGACACAGGCAGAGGGAGAAGCAGGCCCCATGCAGGGACCCTGATGTGGGATTCGATCCCCTGACTCCAGGATCACATCCTGGGCCAAAGGCAGGCGCTAAATCGCTGAGCCACCCAGGAGTCCCCCTTTCGTGACTTTCTGAGTGAGCAAAGTTTAAGGTGGAAATTAATGGCTCATCACAACCTTTTTCTTTTCTTTTCTTCTTTTCTTTTTTTCTTTCTTTCTTTTTTTTTTTTTTAAGATTTTGTGTATTTATTCATGAGAGACACAGAGAGACAGAGACAGAGAGAGAGAGGCAGAGACACAGGCAGAGGGAGAAGCAGGCTCCATGCAGGGAGCCTGACGTGGGATTCGATCCCGGGTCTCCAGGATCACGCCCTGGGCCAAAGGCAGGTGCCAAACCGCTGCGCCACCCAGGGATCCCGGGGTGCATAAATCTTTTTGATTTAGTGTTTCTTTATTCTTTGGATAAATACCAAGTAGCAAAATTACAGGGTCATATGGTAATTTTTTTTTTTTTAAGGAATCCCCAAACTGTTTTCCCATAGTGGCTACACCAGTTTGCATTCCTACAAACAGTGCATGAGTGTTTTTCTCGACATCCTCACCAATACTTGTTGTTTCTTTTGTTTTTGGTTTTAGCCATTCTGACAGGTATGAGGTACTATATCATTGTGATTGTGATTTGCGTTTTCCTGATGATGAGTGATGCTAAGCATCTTTTCATGTGTCTGTTTGCCATCTGTATGTCTTCTTTGGAGAAATGTCTGTTCATGTCTTCTGCTCATTTTTAAATTGGATTATTTGGTTTTTGGTGTTGAGTTGTATAAGTTGTTTATACATTTTGGATACTAACCCTTTATCAGATATTTTGTTTGCAATATCTTCTCCCATTCATTAGATTGTCTTTTAGATTTATTGATTGTTTCCTTTGCTGGGCAGAAGGTTTTAATTTTGATGTAGTCCCAATAGTTCATTTTTGCTTGTGTCTCTCTTGCCTCAGGAGACATATCAAGAAAAATGTTGTTATTATTGATGTCAGAGAAATCACTTCCTGTCCTCTCTTCTAGGATTTGTATGGTTTTAGGTCTCACATTTAGGTCCTTAATTCATGTTGAGTTTATTCTTATGTATGGTGTAAGAAAGCGGTCCAGTTTCATTCTTTTGCACGTTGCTGCCCAGTTTTCCCAACACCATTTGTTCAAGAGACTGTCTTTTTCCCATTACATATTCTTTATTACTTTATCAAAGATTAGTTGTTCATATAAATATGGGTTTATTCTTGGGATCTCTATTCTATTCCATTGATCTTTGTTTCTGTTTTTGTGTCAGTACCATACTGTTTTGATTACTACATCTTTGTAGTATATCTTGAAATCTGGGATTGTGATACCTCCAGTTTTGGTCTTCATTTTCAGGATTGCTTTTGCTATTCAGGGCCTTTTGTGGTTCCATACAAATGTTAGGGTTGTTTATTCTAGTTCTGCAAAAACTGCTATTAGTATTTTGATAGAGATTGCATTAAATCTGTAGATTGCTCTGGGTAGTATGGACATTTTAATGATATTTATTCTCTGAAATCCATGAGCATGGAGTATCTTTCCATTTGTTTGTGTCATCTTCAATTTGCTTCATTATTTTTTTGTTTTAAGATTTTATTTATTTATTTGAGAGAGAGCACGAGCAGGGAAGGGGAATTGGCAAAGAGGAAGAAGCAGACTCCCTGCTGAGCAGGGAGCCAGATGCAGTGCTCAATTCCAGGATCCCAGGATCATGACCTGAACCAAAGGCAGACACTTAACCAACTGAGCCACCCAGGTGCCCCTCCTTCCTCAGTGTTTTATAATTTTTAGAGTATAGGTCTTACCTTCTTGGTTAAATTTATTTGTAGGTATTTTATTCTTTTTGACACAATGCTGAATGGGATTGTTTTCTTAATTTCTCTTTCTGCTACTTACCACTGTATAGAAATTCAACATTTCTATATATTGATTTTTTTATTCCTGTATTCATTGTATTGTATCCATCTGTTCATTGTATCTACTTCACTGTATTCATTTGTCAGTTTGAGTAGCTTTTTTTTTTTTTGCTTGAATCTTTAGGATTTTCTATCTATGGTATAATGTCATCTGCAAAGTGAAATTTTTTTTTAAAGATTTTATTTATTTATTCATGAGAGACACAGAAAGAGAGGCAGGCAGAGACATAGGCAGAGGGAGAAGCAGGCTCCATGCAGGGAGCCTCATGCGGGACTCAATCCCGGTACCATGGGATCACACCCTGGGTCAGAGGCAAATGCTCAACCGCTGAGCCACCCAGGCATCCCTGCAAACTGAAATTTTTACTTCTTCCTTACAAATTTGGATGCCTTTTTTTCTAGTCTGTTTGCTATGGCTAGGACTTCAGTGCTATATCAAATACAAGTAGTGAGAGTGGACATCCTTATCTTGTTCCTAATCTTAGAGGGAAAGCTCTCAGCTTTTTCCCCTTAAGTATGATGTTAGTTGTGGGTTTGTCATCTATGGCCTTTATTAGTTGAAATTATGTTCCACCTAGCCCTACTTCGTTGAGGGTTTTTATCATGAATGTGACGTACTTTGTTAAATAGTTTTTCTGCATCTATGAAATGATGGTTTTTATTCTTTTTCTTGTTGATGTGATGTGTCACATTGATAGAATTGCAAATATTGAACCATTCCAGCATCCCAAGAATAAATCCCACTTGATTGTGGTGAATTATTTTTTAATGTTTATTTATTTTTTTAAAGATAGATTCATTTATTCATTCATTCATTCATTCATTCATGAGAGACACAGAGAGAGAGAGAGGAAGAAACACAGGCAGAGCGAAGAGCAGGCTCCATGCAGGGAGCCTGATGCAGGACTCGATCCCGGAACCATGGGATCGCCCTGGGCCAAAGGCAGATGCTCAACCACTGAGCCACCCAGGAGTCCTGGTGAATTATTTTTTAGTGTGCTATTAGATTTGGTGTGCTAATCTTTTGTTGAGAATGTTTGTGTCTGTGTTTCATCAGAGATGCTGTCCTGAGGTTTTCTTTTTTTGTGTGGTGTCTTTATCTGGTTTTCCTACAGGATAACACTGGCCTCATAGAATGAATTTGGAAGCTTCCTTTCCTCTTCTATTTTTTGGAATAGTTTGAGAAGAATACATGTTAACTCTTCCCTAAATGTTTGGTAGAATTCATCCGTGAAGCTATCCGGTCTGGACTTTTGTTTTGGGGAGTTTTCTGATTACTGACTCAGTTTCACTACTAGTAATCCATCTGTTCAAATATTCTATTTCTTCCTGATTCAGTTTTGGGAAGTTATATGATTTTAGGGATTTAGCCAGTTCTTCTAGGTTGTCCAATTTGTTGGCCTATAATTTTTCACAATGTTCTCTTGTAATCCTTTATATTTCTGTGGTGTTGTTATTTCTCCTCTTCCATTTTTGGATTTGAGTCCTCTCTCTCTTTTTCCTATTTTTTTTTCTTCTCTCTCTCTCTCTCTCTTTTTTTTTGATAAGTCTGGTTAAAGATTTGATCATTACAAAGAACCAGCTGCTGGTTTTGTTGATCTGTTCTATTGAGGTTTTTTTGCTTTGTTTTTAGTTCCTATTTCATTTATCTCTGCTCTAGTTTATGTTATTTCCTTCCTTCTACTGGTTTTGGGTTTTGTTTAGTCCTCTTTTTCAGCTCCTTTAGGTACAAGTTTAAGATTGTTTATTTGAGATTTTTCTTGCTTCTTGAGATAAGCCTGTATGCTGTAAAGATCCCTCTTAGAACAACTTTTGCTGTAACCCAAAGATTTTGGACCATTGTGTTATAATTTTCATTTGTCTCCAAGTATTTTTTTATTTCCTCTTCGATGTCTCAGGTGACCTGTTCATTGTTTAGCATCATGTTATTTAACCTCCATGTATTTGTGTTCTTTACAGGTTTTTTTCTTGATTGATTTCTAGTTTCATATTGTTGTGACCAGGAAAGATGCATGGTATGACTTCAGTCTTTTTGAATTTGTTGCGACTTCTTTTGTGGCCTAATGTGTGGTCTATTGTAGAGGATGTTCCATGTGTACTAGGAAGGAATGTGTATTCTGCTGTTTTATGATGGAATATTATGAATGTATCTCTTAGGTCCATCTGGTCCAATGTTCATTCAAAGCCAGTGTTTCCTTTTGATTTTATGTTTGGTTTACCTATCCATTGATATAAGCATGGGACTTACTACTTAGTATTACTATAAAGTTCCCTACTATTTTGTATTACTATTGATTACTTTCTTTACGTTTGTTATTAGCTGCTTTAAGTATTTAGGTGCTCCCCTGTAGGATGCATAAATATTTACAATTGTTATATCTTCTTGTTGAATTGTTCCCCTTATGATTATATAGTGTCCTTGTGTCTTATTATGGTCTTTTTTGAAAGTCTATTTTGTTTGATGTAAGTATTGCTACCCTGGCTTTCTTTTTTTACTTCTATTTGCATGATAAATGCTTTTCCATCCCTTTACTTTCAATCTGCATGTGTCTTTAAGTCTGAAATGACTCTCTTGTAGGCTGCATACTGATGGGTCTTGCTTTTTTATCAATTCTGTCACTCTGTGTCTTTTGGGGTTTAGTGCAATAATTGATAGGCATGTCCTTACTGCCATTCCGTTACTTGTTTTATGGTTGTGCTTATAGTTCTTCTCTATTCC